GAATTTAATCTCGAGCGTTAGTGAGGGATAACATTAACGAATATAACGGCCCAGGCCATGTGAAAATGAGAACAAATCTACGGCTTGCATGAATTATTTCGATTCTAATAGGAAAAATACGGTTATTTAAAAAACTAAAGCGAAGGTAAGATTGCCGTTTGTATGGCTGTTCTATTTTACCCCCTGTAAGATAAAAGTTACAAATTTCAAATTAATCTAGAGCTTGCATGAATTATTTCTGAAAAAAAACTACTAGAAAAAATGTGTTCAATTCTTAACCCAACATATTTTTTTTCCGTTGGCTATCATTTACTGTCAAATCCACAGTTGACATGTCGAAACTAAAGAGTAAGCCGCCATGTTGACTTGCTGTAATCCATGAATGTGCGAATGATGTAATAGAATAGAAAATGAAATACCACCTACATCAAAACTCCATTTTAAAGCAATATTACCCGAATTAAGAGCGTACACGTAACGGAATAATCTTCAGCTTGAGCGTTTTCATTCGTATGACGTCATGCTTTGACATGACATTAATGCGCCAGGATCGTTCATGAAATTTCGCGGAATTTTATTTTATTTTGATTTCATACATTTTTCAAGATCTTATGCATAAATTCTTTTTGTTATGCATTAGAAAATGAATAACGGTTCTGTAGCTTCTTTTTTAATTTCAATTTGAACACAACGAAATCCATGTAGTGTTTGCACATAGGTTACGATACATGTGGATTTACGTGGGAGGTAAATAGTAACAACCGTTAATATGTTTATCTCTGAGTCTGCGATAAGTATAGATATATCGAGAATTGTATCACGCTGTTGTTTACAAAGCGAAAGAAGCATGTCATATTAGAATTCAAAATAAATGATGCTAGAATAATTTGTAATTCTGGTTTAAACATGAAATCTCTTTAAGTAATAAAATTGTTTATTTTTTATTCTACATGCCAATTTCTGATAATAGTTCTTTGATATAATATGTCCTGTTTCATCCGTTCATAAATTAAAGTCAATATACATTTTCATCGGACGAATTCGCATAATTGAAAAATCCCATTACTTTAAATACCATATGATTTTTGAAAAGGCAGGATGTAACTAAAAAATCTAAACATTTGGTTTACTTCAGAATTCCCCAGCAAAGAGGATGAAGTTTATGATAATTACATTTTAAAAGAACATCTAGTAATGGTACGGATATCTAAACTTCTGTTTATAACTGTAGTACTTTTAAAAGAGATTTGAAAGGAATCTGTTATATTAAGGGTTCCTAATGGCAGAGTTTAACATGTTTAAGTCATGTCTTTGAGGATGTATATTGGCCTCTATATTGATTCGGCTGATCGTTGTAATAACTGTGTCACAGATGACTATTGCAGTGTTCCACTTGTCGTAGACACAGTTTTGTCCCCTTTTATTCGTTTGCGACATCTCTGTATGTGACTATTATCACAATTGTGCTTACCGTGGACAATAGGACAGATGCCGTTAGTGGAACAGGAACAGTTTTCATTTGAGGTCATTTTTTTAGAAGGGGTTCATGTTGATCAATGTTTAATCTTCTGTGTAGTGTTTTGTAACTGTTTGTCTGTTCGACTTTATTCTTTTCCAAATAGTGTCTGTCTTTCTTCTATCATGGTTTTTGGCTGCCACCTTGACATCTTCTATATTTTGTATCATCAGTGTTGGTAGACAAACTATTTGAAAAAAAATAAATAGAGAAATAGAATAGAGTATATGAATTTGAGTAAAATCATCATTCAGCTAATCAAAAACTCTTCTAGGATGAAAAATTAAATACAAAACTGTATAAGTGCAGCTTAAAAGAGAAGCGGAAGATACCAAATGGAAGACAAAATGACAACATGGCCACCAGTGACAATAAATTATCGCATTTTTTCGCATATGAAATTATCGGTTTTTATTTTCCAGGGAGATCATTATATTTCATTGCAAACAATGTAATAAAATGATTCATATGACACTTGTTAGAGAACAATAATTAAAGGGAAGACGGTACATATTGAATCGTTTTTGCCACTGATAATTTGGGGGATTGTATTATTTTCGGATATCTGAATGAGGTGTTCTCAGAATGTAAGCATTTGATGACAGCCTGTGACGTCAATACCGTAAAAATAATTTTGAGGATTATTTTGTCTTGTACGAAATTTAATACAAGCAAGGACCAAAGAAAATTTTCCAAAAGAATCGAAAAAAGTGCGCTTTCTACGTAAATATTATTGGTGCGTTTGACTAAGAAAATTTTGAAGGTACATGAAACAGGTTAAAGAGAGATCTCAATGAATCAAGGTCAACCTACAGAAATAATTCCGATCAACTGAACAAAACTATCAGGGTCATACCCTAATAAATAAAACTAATGATTTGCTACAGATCAATCTTAGCAATTATCTGTGGAAAATAAATTCCCTATTGGGAAAAATACAAAGATGATATCCAAAATAAAACGTGCTGAAACTACCGACTCCGTTGTATACGTAATAATAATATATGATGTGAATTATCTCGCTTACACTGCTTATATATATGAGGTAAAAATATTTTATCGATATGCAGAACTCGTTTTGAAATATACAAACTAATAGAAAACAAACGAAGGAATCGCATGAATTACAAACTGAGCGAGACCGGCAGCATTTAAAGGATTAGCGTTTAATGCTTTGCATGCATCAACCATCTTGCAAATTCCAACTCAGTAAAAGTGTCTTAATATAACACAGGCTGTCAACTTTGTCTGCGGAGTTAAAACCTTAGCTGTAGCATGTGTAGCACAATTACATAATTTTATGAACTAAAAATTTTCAGATCGGTTATTTTATTATATGAAACGGACGTGAAATATCCACGCTAATTCAGAAATTTGATTGATTACATTAATATGAGCCAATATAAAATGTGAACAAAAACGATTATACCATTCCTAAAAATGAGTCTATTTGAGTCGGAATGTATTTTCAAGATGCGTTGCAGAAGTAATAATGTATGATAAATATTTCATTGGCTACATTGTACATTTTATTACATTAACCATCGCATGATATTCTTTAATGAAACCTTTTCTGACATGAGATAATACTACAAAATGGTATTCTGTTAGGTCATCATGTAACTTAATTCCACATTGAAGTCTGATTTAAAAACAAATACATCGAAGATGACATCATCGAAACGCGGTATGCCAATGGGTACTAATTGTGCACTGCTACTGGTTGACTTGTTTTCAGTCCTGAGGGAGAATTCACACAAAACCTTCTCAAAAACAGAAAGAATAAAAACATATGCTCGTTCATAATCTTGCTATGCGAACTTCATAATCAAGAGCATGCTCCTTACACAAAAACTCCTCAAACAGAGTTATGAGGAAGAATGATTGAAATTAACACTACAAAACTTTTACGAAACGACATATCTGTGTCTCAACTCACTAACGACATGGTTTCGCAGTCTCAGAACTTTAGATTCCAGAGTAGTCGTCTGATCTATAATTTTACCGATTGTGTCCTAGTCCTGATTGTGACATTTTTACTATGTGTGGATTCGCATGGCAGACTATGTATGCATAGAAGGAGACACTCACCCTGTCGACGTACTGGACCTCGCTCCATGTGATTCCCTCATTTTTGGTTGTTACCTTGATTTGTCATCTTTATCGATTTATGAGATTTGAAAATCGGTTAACTACTGTTACCTATATCTAAGAGCTGATCTCAGAGAAAACCATGCAAATTTCCAAAAAATTGTCCAGCAAGAACTATTTAAATTTGGTTTTTTCATGTTGTTTGTTGGAAGGTCCAATGACTTAGCATCACTTTGAAAGTGTTTCGAACTATATCTGCTTGTGAAAAGGTGTTTCTATTTTTTTCAAATGGTTCATCCGAAAATCTTTTGTCATTTGAAAGCTTATACATGCTGCAACTTACTATTCAAGTTATATAAAATTATGACGACTTTGCTTATGGAACCTTTTGCACTGAGATCACCTCTTAAAATAGTAATTCTGTTTAAGACATTGGATAACTGCTGTTGCCTTTAATTTGATATTTGATTATGCTATCTCATTTTATATTGGTATAACTTGATAATGCTACAACATGGTATACTTATATGATATAATGCTACTTTCCTATGATAAGCTAATTGCAATTTATCTAAAATCGGGATGGTTAAGATAGAGCTTGACGTATTGCATAGCGATTTGCATATTGCCAAAAAGTTTAATGTCTGTCTTTCGGTAACATGGTAACTGTTATTTCATAGATGTAAAACATAACATTTCCTTTTATTCCTAAAACAATACTAGCAAAATTAATAGATAAATATGGAATGAAAAATATATTTGGAAATGTAAATAAAAAGATTAATAAAAGGATTAATAGATGAATTAAACTTTTTTTTTTAATTTTGTTCCGATCATAATCTTTTCTTCTATATTTATAGGGGTTCATCATTTTTCTTTTCAATGGAAATCAACTAGTCTCATTATGTACAGAAAAAAAAGCTTCGAATGACAAAGTAAGTGTAGCGTCGTGACGGCATTACGCTGCAAATTGTAGTTTTTTATATTTTTTTTTTGCATTATTAAAAATTAAATGATTTTGACATCAAAAACAAAAGAGGTGACCACATAAAAATTTCAAACCAATAAATCGGAAACGTTCTTAGCAATACGATGTAACTTTTAAGCACAAAAAAAAAAAACTGTTGCCGCCGTTTTAACTTACGTCATCTATAGTTTTTTTCGATCTGGTTCACAAACATGCTCTATTTTAATTATCTGTTGTGTTGAAATATACATGCAACATATAAGTATGTAAGGTTTGGCTATGCAGATGCAGTTTGACGATTTCTTAATTCATTACACTTCATAAAAAGCAGAAACCCCGCCAAATTACGTATACCTGTCCTTATCTACACAGTACTCAAGTACCTTGATTTCCTGTTAAAAGTTATTTTTGTCACAAACAGGAAGTTGTACCTAAGCCATTATTGATTATAATTTGAAACCATAACATGTGTACACAGGTAAGTTAAAAAGATCGTTCCATCACAACTTCTATATGATTTTTTTTCTATTTTGATAAAAATACATGCACAATACTGAACAGAAAGCAGTTCTCATCTCATTAGAATTCGAAACACCTTACTTTTTGTTGTCCATTAAAAGTACCCTGTTCATGATGATTGAACTACACTTTAACTTTTTCGTGTTTTAGTCTTAAATTTCTATATAACTATACAAACGTTTGCAGAGACTTGTCACGTACTAACTCCTTTACGGGAACTACCCTCTGATTAGTGCATTATCAATTATAAGTAGGTGTCATGCTTTCATGCAAGATTTTGTCAGCATCCATTTTACAAAAAGTAATACGTGGACTTAAATTATTACACCTGCTAATCATTCATCGGCAAACATATCTAGTATATTCAGGACGAAAACAAATAGAATAAAAACCCTGTATATACAATAATCAAACTGAATAAACAAAAATATTTGCACTTCCAAAAAGTAAAAAAAAAGGTAAATTTTATTTTAGCATGCATACTATGCAGAAGTATTGTTCCATGCCAAACTTGACAACACAGGTTTAAGGTACACATTCTCCCCATTGAATCCTATAGTGAATCCAAATTCAAAAAAATTATCATCAAAGATTCTAATAATATGAAGGATTCATATTCCTTGGATGTTGCAGTAAAAAAAAATGCCATTGAGGTAGAGCTGGATTGTGGTTTTTGGAGTCTACAATACCATTAAATGACCAACACACTATTTAGTTTCATCACAAAGACAGAAAAACGTAATAATCTCAAACGAATAGTATTTGTATTGATGGACAATATGCAAATAAAAAGATGTGGTATTCTTGAGAGTGCTACAACTATCCACCAAAGACCAAAAGACAAGAACATGAACAACTATAGGTCACCGTATGGCCTTCAACTCTTGAGTAACACCATGCCTATATATATTTTCTTCATTAAATATATTATATCTATCAATCGCTTGCTGCTTGTAAAATTTGTTACAGCACCTGTTCCTACATACTTAAATTAAGTAGTGGCCCAAATGGGTTTAAAAAAGCCAAAAGCTTGCAAAAAATGACCAAAAGATCAAGAGGTGGAGCTATTGCCTTTGATAAATTTCACAAAGGGTAATTTCAAAACGTCAACTTTTTTACTCTGCCACTTTGTACTTTAATTGTTCTCTGACTTAAAGGAGTCCAAATAACACCCTTTTGGCTAGAATTTCACCTGTTGGTGAACACTGATCAATCTTTTTCATTACTCATGTAAAAGCTTCTTGTATGGAGTTACTGAGGGATCTCAATTTGATGTTACAACTAAAATATAACAGTCAAACATAAAACACATGTCATGGCATACATAAATACAGTTCAGTTCTGTTAAATTGTGTCTATTGTATTACAAAATTATGCGACTAAATGGCCTTTTATGATGAAGGTAAACGCAAAAAAGCTCTTCGGACTCAAGAAATTTAGAATATTTTATTTTCATGCTGTCAATCAAACTGCAGGAACAAACCAAACATGTAGAAAGAAGAAGGTATGGTAATGCCACTTGTTTGGCCCTCTGAATTCGAAAATCAAAAAGTATTATAAATCTACCATATAAAATTCTTCAGATATTGATAAGACATTAGTCTGTCAGAAGTCAGTATTTTTATTTTCGAATTTTGTCCTTCATATTTTCGTTAGGGCTATGAAGAAACTGTCAAAATGGCCTCATTTTGAGATCTTGTTATTAAGGTTTAGATTTGAGCCATGTTTTTACCAAACACGATGTATTTTGCAAAGATAGAAATGTGTAAAATATTGAGTGAGGCATTGTCTTATTTCTATGTTGTGGAGAAAAATGTTCTTGGATGACCATTTAAGATCAAATATTTCAAGTTGGAACAATTTTTGACATAATAGTAACACCACAAAAGACGTTCTACATCAGGTTATATCAACATAATTTTGAAAGGCTTGAATAATTTATCTTTTTTGGCTCTGTTCATACATTAATCAGAGTAAACAGATCATTTTGAAATTGTATGAATCTGACCTATTGTTTGAACAATTATCATTTTCATATTTATGTTATTTTTGGTACAGACGTCAACTATAATTCTGATACTAAAATATGTAAGATTTTTTTTCAAACAAAATTATAAATCTAAAACTACAATTGATACCTTTGATGACGTTCATTTCATATGATATATAATTGAAATCGGATATTGCTATTTTCCCCTCCTTTTAACATTTTGAAATGTACCCACAACAGCCTTCACTTATATCAAAGTAATTGATAAAATTGTAAATGGAAATGGGGAATGAACATGTTTGATTTCAAAATGGAGATGAAGATATTGAAAAAAAGCCTTAAGAAGTTTTTGCAAACAATATGTGACAGGAATATAAATATCAGTAAAAAAAATAATAATTTTGTATTAATCTATTTAGCCACGTCAGCATTACTTTCTTAGGTTATGCAATTTTTACAGATTATGAAATGACAAAAAATGAAAATAACATTTTATAAAATGCATGCGTGCGAACCACTTTTCTGCATTTATTTTCTTCAGGAACGCTTCTTTTGTATGAAACTTGCTCTAGATTTTACCGATTGTGTAGGAATAGATAAAACTTTTACTTTTGATGTTCTTCTTTTTTTCTTTAGGTGTATTACCTTGACGATAGTCCTTTTCCATACTAGACGTGCAATGATTTATTTCGATCAAAAACACCGTTACATTGAACAATATCGAAATGCTATCTTGATACGGGGAAAGTGGCTGTCTACTCGTTTATTTTTTTAATATCACGAAACCATAGTGAAAGTTTTAGATTCCGTATTTACTTATTACCAAATATGATTGTTGGTATTTTTAAGGTGCAATGTTGTGTCTTAATCGGAGAAATAAAATACGTCTGAACAAGGTTCAACACACTATTGAGCATATCAAACCAAAGAACCCCCGGGTAAAATCACTTAACTTATATTCAGGCATGAACAACATGTATGTATTTTAGTTTTTACCAATGATTGTGTGGGATCTATTTAGAATGAGTTCAATTCCAGAGAAGAAATTCCTTTGTTTGGTAAAATTATCATACGATATCTCGTTAAAAGTAACGAGGGCGTACACAGAGATTAATGTACTAAGTAAATATAACAACCAAGTGTCAACTTTTCTGAAAAAAACAAGCATGAGATATTCCACCTGTGGAACAATACCCCATGTTGTCAATGTGTCTCCCCGGGAGGCGCAAATTCAAAGACAAAATTTGCTTTAACCCTTCGTCAGATAGAAATACTATTCGACTTTCAAGGAAATGGAGAACCGGGCCATTTCAAAAAAGACAAATCAAGCAATAAGGTGATACAACACTGCTTGTGTCGAATGTCTGAAAAATCAGTCTCCTTGAATGATTTTGATATTAACTTACTAGAAACACTATTAAAAAGGTATGTGAATCTTGAATCGGATGATAAAATGTGGCTATCGACTATTCGGGAAATAAGGAATTGCATAGCACATGCAACAAGCACGACAGAATTTGACCCTGGAAGACTAGATAAGTGGTGGATGAAGCTGGAGGGATCAATCCTTGGACTTGTTAGGAAAATCCCACCAGCATTTTATGGGGAAGCAATTGAAAGTCAGATTAATGCTTTGAAAAATTCTAATATGGAAGCGATCTATGCAAAGAAGCTCATGGATGACGTTAAAGCAGAAAATATGATCGTACGTAATATGAAGTTTATAATTAAAGTTCGTTCACTTCCTTTTTTACCTGGTATAAGAAGCAATAATTTTGTAAAGGGCATTGTAAAGTTTCAAGTCTACTTTACCTTGAATTGAGAAAAAGCTTTGGAAATTTCATAAATCATTGAGTAAAGCAAGCATAACAAATATCAAAACAAAAAAAAAGTTGATAAAACTTCAGAACGACAAATTAAGCTATAAAAATGATAAAATCATCTATACCCTGTGAACAAGAATATAAATGTAACATTGTACCTGTGTGGTCGAGTAATAGAAAATGATTGGTAATTCTTGAATTGGTAAATGCATCAGTATATCAAATACATGACCTTCCCTTTGTACTCTCCATAGTTATTGTTGCGGAGACGATTTGAATTGTGCAGTGGAATAAATTGTTCTTACAAAGTTCGACGATTTGGGATTTGGGAGTTCGACGATAATGATATGCCAATAGCATTATTATATCCATAACATATAACTAACTCGAATGTTTGCTAATAACTACGTTTTAATCCAATATTTACAATATTTACAATCATTGCATATTACCATTTCACAACATTGTTTTCGATGTTAACGTATCGCATGATAAAGACGATCTGTTTACGTCTGAACATTAGACATAAAATTTCACCCTTATTTAACCTGATTCCCAGAGATGATCAAAACAAAGTTATTAAATCGCCTCAGCTGCATTTGCAGACGACTATTATTTGAACTCTAAATGACTAGACTGACCTACTGAAGGTGTTATAAAATTTAGGAATCCCGTTAAGATTAACAATTAACTTTCTACACTGTAATAAATTCTTTGGAAAACACTGTTATCTTTAACTAATCTTAGGAGACGAAAATGTAACTTTATTTCCACATAATTATATTGAAAATTAACGATAAAAATAAACTTGCAAACATTTAAGTGCAATTAATAAAAACCGATTTCTACTCTATTAAAAATCATAACTAAAAAACAATCATACTTATAAAAACTAAAAAACTATTGTCTTCAATCCAGTTATGTCTAACGCACAATTTTAACCCAATGGAAAGGATCAATAGTAGAATTGTATAAATATAGATTCTTACATTGGTACCAGTGAATTATCGGATTTATATCGGCGAGGTCTTTAAAATTCGATAATGTAACTATCAAGATTGGATAAATCTAACCCGAATAATTCAGGTCCTCCCCGTAATCGATCTCTCCTACTTGCGAGGGCCTGAATTCCTAACACGATAAAAACTCTTCACGAATCCTCGATTTTAATTGGTGCTTTATAAAAGAAGTTACCAATCAGCAATCAGCTCAATTTTATCGAGATAGGTAAATCCCGAACTAATTCCGAATGATTGATTGCAGATTTTTCATTGTCTAAGCATTCAGGCGTTAATGAAGTAATCGTAGATTAGCGGAATATAACGCCTGAATTATTCGGGTTAGGATAAATCCGATTATCCACGAGTAACTATGCGAGAATCTGTTTTCTAATGATAATCAAATAAATTTTTGTTTTTGATAAACGAATATCCCTTTCGATTGCCTTCCACATTAAGGACTTTAATCATACAAATGAAAAGATGTCAATTTCTCTAGCACATTTCGATTCATCCAGAGACCTTATAAAGGTTGTGACCTTTTAACTTAGCCAATCGTCTACTAAGATCATCGGCAACCATTCGTTGATTAAATGTTTTAAACAATGGGTCTAGAAAAGCTTAAATTGCCGAAGAAGTAGAGAAAATTAAAAATTAATTGTGTATCTGTCAAGTATAAACCTGGAAAGAAATTCGACTGTTATAACAAAAAAATATTGATATGCAAACAAGAGTAAGCAGGTTTATTTCATTAAAACATATAACAGTCAAAAACTGAATCTTGTTATTAAAACAACCCATATGAAACTCTTACAAGTTAAACATTGAACATCACTGAATCATTAAGATAGAAATTTACAAGAAATAGAAAATCAAGTTGACAATTCGAGACTGACAGAGGATGAGCATGAAACTGTATGCAATTGAATATATACAATAACATAAACTAAACTACCATCTCTAACTATGCAATATCCTTTATGTTAAATATTGGTTTTAATACTCTACTATTAAATCGTTTGAAGTTGTTGGAGGATCTTGTTGAAAGAAGTGATATCAGGATTGGGGACTGTGAAAACAATATAAAGCAAGCAATAACTGAGAATAATAATGAATTCAAACGATATTTAGGTAAATATAAATTACATAAAGATGTATTTTAATAACTTATCATATGGTTGTACGTTGCTTCATTTGAATCATAAAAAATGCATCTCTATTTGCAGTGATTCCATTTGTTTACCAACAACAGATATAAGATAATTATAATTCAGAATTTGGAACTTGTTTTGAAGAAGTTAAACAATACTGAAACTTTTTTTAAATAAAAGGAAGTAATTAATTTTTTTAGATTCATTAATAGATGAAAAGACAGGTGGAATAATGAGAAAATTAGAAGAATTAGAAGCACAAATTAAGGCTTCAGCCAAACAAGATCCTAGTACTAACTTTCGAAGCGAGCATGGTAAGTTTTTGGTAGTATTGTACGTATAATTTTGTTGTTCGATTTAACTGACATAAATAATTGTATATCATATGTAGAATAAAATAATGAAATTATAAATTCTTTTAGCACGGCATAGTATGTAACAATACGTTTTTTTAGCCCCAAACATAGCCGTATATCTTTTTGATTTTTTTTCAAAGCTCTCCAACTTCGTCATTAATTTTGTCTTCCAACTAATTTGATTCGGGCGCCACGTATAAGTGTTATATATAGATTATCGATTTTTCTCTACATAAATATCGTAAATATATATATTTGTTAGGCGAGTAAGATTAGCGAACGAGCAAAAACGGTTCACATGGGTTATTTTTATACGGTTTCTATAAGCAGAAAACCCGATATTCTGTTTATCGTGATATTTCTGTCTTTTTTACTCCAGTAGATGATTTTACGTTTGACAAAGGTAGCAGGATAGCGTTTCATTGCACATTGTGACGTCGCTAACAACTTCTGCTCTTATCTCAAGCCGTAATACGAGAATTACGGAGCGACTCAGCCGGGTGATGCAGGCAAAGGGAAAGACAATTAATAGATGTTCTGCACCACTGGAAAAGTAAATAATAAGCTTGGTATACTGGATTGAGTTTTATAGTCATGTTTGATACTTACTACTCCATAAATAATTTTGATAAAGCATTTTTTTTTATGTAAACAAAGGTTTTGTCAAGGTTTAATTAAAATACTTTAGTAGTTTTGAAAGAGCTGCTGATCAAAGATCTCAATTTCCTTTTCCAAAAAAGGGGAGAACTATAGCAAGGGAAAATAGCTAGTAAAAGAAAAGCTGTCACCACCTTAGCCAAAATGTAATGGTGCCCTATTTAGTAGCAAAAGTAACACTAATCAACGTTAGAGATACAATACTTGCATAGTTGGTTGGAGGATCATTGCATACTATTTTGGATATTTTAAAGGCAAATAACTCACTGAATGTACCCTTACACTACCAGAATTGTTTATGAACTAAACCTTTCATTTACTATATTTAATTGAAATTGTTCTCTAATCATGGTGTTTTATTTATTTGGTGCGCAGACAGTACTAGAAAAATACACGTTGCATGCCAAGTGGAAGCAGATGACATAGATGAACAATTGACTATCAAAAACCTGTCAGATCCAGACAGAGCAGCAGCTGATGAAAGTGGTGATGGAGGCTTCAAAGTTGTAAATGTCAAACAAAAATGTATTTTGCTTGAACTAACAGCGTCACCGGAAATACTCAGCTCGGAAGAACGTCTACTGAATGCCATTGATCAATTGATAAATCAAGTCGTTTGCGCCGGGAAGCTCGACACCAGAGTGCCAGGAAAAATGACCTTGAATTTAACATTTACAAGTCCTTTGAGTAGAGGTATATGAATATAAAAAGAGAGATTATTTTTATTATATATTTTTTCACATTTTATCCTATCTCAATTCTTTGATTATCTTCATAGAGAATAAGAATGCTATGTTTTGGTGTTGAGAATGACAACTGCAAGTTCGATTTTTCAAAGCCTTAACTACAAAATGAACAAATCTTATAAAAAGTGAAATGTCTCCTTGCAAAAATCTTGTACAATGAAAAACATCAGGAGGATTAAGAAACAAATTAATACAGCGCTGAAACTGCTAAATTATGTCCACATTGATTTGCCATAAAACTAACTATCAGCGTCCTACATGTCATAATGAATAAAAATATCGAATCTTTATAGTCTACCGAAATCATGGTAATTTCATTTATATTTCAATTCTAGAGAATTATTAAGTAAATATTAAGATGAACTAAAATATAAAAATAAGGAGATCAGGTATGATTGCCAATGAGACAACTATCCACCAAATTCAAATAAAGTTGATGTTAGCAAGTATAGGCAAACGTACGGCCTTTAACAATGAGAAAAAAAACCATACTGTGTTGTAACTCCATTCATCACAACTACTTTTTTAGTTCAACAATTTACTAATCTTATTTTTCCATGCAAATTTACACATTTTTATTTTGTGGTTTTTAGAGGAACTAGATGTCTTTTCAAGAGTATTCTGTACTAGTGACAAAGCCGAAGTTATAGATTCCGACGTAATGAATCAAATTCAAGACTACAGTATTGGAACAGTCACTAGAGAAACACAAACAGGTACTGATTAAAACCAATATAAAAGGTTGTTTTCCTGATTAATAAATTACAACAATTGGTCTTCAGATAAGAATGATTGAATGATGGCAAATTGCTCTTATATTCCCGACTTTTAATTGCGATCTAGGAGAACACAAAAAGAGAGAAAAAAAGTCGACTCACTTATAAGAATAACTTTCGGCATTCATTACTGTTGCAAATGTTCACGTGTTTTTTGTTGTTTTACAATCGATATGAAATAGTTAAGGGGGGTACAGAACACTTTGACTTAAATAGATTGTGCTCGTTTAATTTTCATAAAAGTTTGACAAAATATCAACATTCCAAGAAATTTGCACTCCCCAATTTACAGGAATAATTTTATTGGATACATAACAGTTTGACAAACATTAATTTTGATAATTCAGAAGCCTGATTTCTCTTTACAAATAATATGTGATTTAAACATTCAGCTTATTTCTAAAAAGATAACTCACTTAGGTTTTCGGTACCCCTTAAGTTTTGCTGTCTTGTATTCATTCGTATTTTAATTGATTTACTCTTCTGCTATTCCACTGATCAAAATTTTAGGAAAGAGATCTAAAACAAAAACTTAAATTCACCACAAAGTTACGTGTCTGTCCCTTATAAGGAAACTCAATATTGGTCGTCTTTATCTTTCATGTCATTAAGAAAATTTAGTATTGACTTTGGGAAATTCAAAGCTTGAAGAATTGTATATTGTTATTATTGTTGAAACAGTATGTGTCCATCTTTTATTACTTTGAGGTTTTTTTTAAATTTGAGTTGATGTATTCTAACACTGCCCTCTACATCGTATATTTAGTTTATAGTAATAAGATCAAAATATGTAGAAATCCTAACATATTTAACAGTTACTTTAATTTACGTAAAATCAGAATCAAATGTTCCTTTTTCAGTTTGTTAATGAAACCAGTCCGTCACTCAAACCGTTTTACTAGTTTTGAAGATTTATGTTCGAAGTTTCGAGCAAGGAAGACTCGTTTTATGGCGACAAATTGTTAAGCTCATCTGCCATCACATGGTGTTTGGCGTCGCCCTTTGTTATATTTTTAAAACATTTCATTCTCTGAAACCACTTTACTAATATACATAATCCTTCATGAATTTTGTATAAGATATTCGTTTTTGTTAACGTCAACCTACCATCATGGCAACAAAGACTGAAAAAAAAAAAAAAATACGGGTGAAATAAAAGTAGTTGACATATCTTGAAAACCTTAATGGAAATTTTCTAAATGACGGAACATGTTCAAACTGATCAAATATTTAATATGTTTTCTGATTCTATCAATTAAGCAAATAACGTTGGATAGTAGTTATCGCCCGTTAATTTTGTTAACGTTTTCGTATATAAAACTTAATAAATGTCATGCCAGAGGCGCTTTACTGGATTAACCTTCATCAGCACCACTCAAACCATAAATGTATATAAAATATAGACAGAACTATAAACAAACAAATATGATTAGAATCAGCCAGTTCAATGCAAAGACAACTTAATGCCTTATAGTCATCTTTAAATTACTAATTTAATCGTTCTCTTGATCGTCTTGAACCAATAATTATTGATAGAAAAACACTATCAAAATTGTTCCACAATATAAATAAAATCTGCTACATCTTGTATCATCATTGTAATAACTTAAAACCATCAAGTTGACTCCTAACTGGAGTTATAGTCCTATAAGGACGATTGTTAACTAATAGTAGCGGTTTTGACTATTGCCTTGGGCAATTTATTGGATACACAGAAACTTAAAGTGAGACTAAATCGACTGAACTGCACGATTAACATTAAAAAAAAATCCAAAAACAAACCAAGAGTACTGTAGCCATCAATTGACTATTTATAGTCAAAATAAATTTGAGAATGGAAATGGGGAATGTGTCAAAGAGACATCAACCCGACCAAAGAGCAGAAAACAGCCCAAGGCCACCAATGGGTCCATTAGTCAAAAGATTATTTGTAAATAATGAAGCATTACTCTTATCATTATGGAGACTGTAAACGAGATGCACAAATGAACTAAGTAACTTTAACGATAAATTAATCCCTATGGATGAATTTGCCCTAAGATGACGATTTTTTGCGAACATTTTTAGTGTTTTTACCTATCATATTCAAAACTGATCAATACACGCAACATTAATTGATGATGGTTAATCAATTTTATTTTAAATTCTAGCATATAATCTTGCCAACGTTTATTGATAGACAGAAACTGTATTTATCAAGTATAATAAAAACAAATTAAAAAAATCTTCAACGAAGCCAATATGATTGATACTGACAATGTAATCCTTACTGGAGTTATTGCCCTAAAATGATAATATTTGATATCTTAAAATTTTGGAAGAAACGAATAGAGAGAAACTGTAAACAACAAAAACGATCAACATGCAATTGGAGAGCAACCATCAATTTAGTGGTTGTTGCAAATATGATGATTGATAAGGGGTGAACCATTTCATATATTGTGGTGGTAGTAGCTTGTTGCTCAGAACATTTTGTAAGTTATCTTTTGATCGTGAGTTATACGTAGATATCAATCTTGAAAATATTTGAAAGATGAACGATTCTAGGAGCATCTTGTTTAAAAGAAGCAGAATATACGGGTAGTTATTATTTTCATTTTATTTTAATATTCTAGAAATAGTCACTGAAGATATTTCTTGTCAAGTAGATATGAAGTGTAAACAGTGCTCAATGATAGACGATCATAGCGATGAACTTGGGGATGAATTATTGATTCGAAATGTTGAAAGTTCTACAGGTTTGGATTTTATACTATCATACTTGAAGATAAAAGATTTTTAACAAGTAAAGCAGAGGGCCAATCATGCAATACTTATATATATATATATATATATATATATATAAAATGACTGAATAATAGCCAACGATAAATCTTACGGGGCGATGGATCATATAAATATGATACAGTACACTACAAAATATAATATATAACCAGTCTAAAAGGGTACAACATCACCAAAAAATGACAATAAACGAACAAATGTAACTATAAATATTTCGGATAACAGATATCCTTCATCAGTATGAGCACGATGTAAAATGAATCAGATCAATAAATTCTGATTATTAAACTATAGCAATCTTGAATTATATACAATAAAAAAAGTGAAACAGTTTCACCCGAACATCATATGTTTTATATGCTAATAAACTTTTAAAATTTCCAAAAAACGACTCATAGACATGCCTAAAATGAAAATAGTAATTAGAGATATGAACTGGCACAACTCTAAAATTCCAAAATGACGTCAGTTAAGATGTTACAACAACTGTGTGTAAATACATTCCAAAAAAAAAAAAACCAGCACTGATCGATATAAGCTGGTAAAATATGTCAAACAGAGGCTTTTATCATCCCAAATAAATAGCAGTTTTATAATGAAAAGAAAAAATAATAGTAAATTTCGGATAAGTATATATATATATATATACCCTATCAAAGAAAGTCATTCTGCAGAAGGTTGTATTTAGAATAAAACCACTTAATCATAGCCTATGGCTTTTTTGTTAAATTCTGCAATTTCAAGCAATAATGGCTACTTTGTCTTAAGTTCAAATAAAGTGGCAGTCATTTTAAGTCAAAACTATACCTTATCCTTTCTTGTGCTTAAAGACTCAACATGCCTTTAATTGCATATTAGATCACACTGGTTCCAGAAGGTTTGGTAGAACAAAAGCAGGTACTTCTGATCTGAACAACAAGGAAAATGTGCCCTCTTATTCTAATATCATTATTTTTTTTTATTCAAAATAAACTTTTGACAAGGGTTTTACAGTGATCCCAAGTCCTTAAGCTTTTATTTGATACCAAAGCTACCCAAATATTTTCCTAACTTACAAAACTACAGCTATGTGTAAGATCTATTTTTTTTTTAAATATGTACTACTTTCGTGTATGTTCTTTCTTACCGAGCACGAATTAGCTGTTATATACCTATAACAGCACCAAACTTGTTATATTGACTTCTGCTTTACTTAATTTCATTTTATGATCTACTTCTAGCATAGAAAAATACATTGGACTGGTAGTAACATATATGTTATATAAAGAAAACTCCATATGCATAGTAAAAGTGACCTATATGAGACTTTTTCAATTATTACAAGTTCTTTTTTTGTTAATATCTACTCAAATAACAATGTTCTTACTTAAATTACTTATTTTTATCAAAGATTGTTCATTGAATATCAATAAAGCGATTCAAACGCAAAATATTATTGATAAATTTGTCCCTCTTTAATCTACATGTTAGAAAAGGGAGTAAGTTTGGTAAAACCCATACTTTTATTTAAAAACATGGACCAACAAGAGCAATTTATATCTCTTCAAGCTAGACAACATGCAAAATTTTTTGAAAATTGCATTTCAAGGGAGATTCTGGAATTCCTTTATAAGTATTTACCAATTTCATTAAAAATTGATTATACATTAAGAAACCAAAATAAAACGTGAAAACTCACTGGATAGTTTGCCAAAAAGCTATATTTTTACTATAAGCAGTCATAATACACATGTTTCATTGATTTCAGTCTTAAATAATGCAAAAAGTAAACTTCAGGTTAAGTCTTAAATGACCAATAAAGTCTGAAATACCCTTTTGTAGTAATTTGAGGGCTATAATTTGACACCAACATGATTTTTACATTAGAAAGTAATGTTACATGATTACTAACAACAAATGTGACCAATTTGCATTGTAATGGGTATGACTTCTAAAATTTGAATTTCACATGCCGTTCATTAATAGGAATAAAAACTAATAACTCATAGACCATTTATTTCTGTGCTAAATTCTGCAGTTTCAAGCATTGGCGGCTACTTTGTCTTAAGTTCCAATACAGTGGCAGTCATCTTATGCCAAAACTATACTTTATCCTGACTTGTGCTGAAAAATTTAACATACATGCAATGGCATATAAGAGCACATTGATTGCCGGAGGTTTGGTAGTACAAAAACAGATACTTCTGATCTGAATAACAAGGCAAATGTGCCCTCCTATTATAATCTCAGATATTTTTTTATTATTCTAAATACATTTTCAACAAGGGTTTTACATTGATCCCAAGTCCTTAAGCTTTTATTAGATATAAAAATACCCAAACACTAAATTACTTATTGACAAGGTTACAGCTATGCGGGCCAGAATTATTGTTTCTATACCTTTTTCACGTGGCTAGCTTGATAAGACAGTTAAGGTGAACGTTTGATTTTTATCATTTTTGACAATTATTAGTTCATATTTTAAAAATAGGATAGTAATATTCACTCTTGGTACAAACAAGTAACAAGTATGCTTATTTCTTATAACAATATTGCAGAATAATAAATTTGCCGATATTTCACTTCTAAGTCCTGCTCTGTAGTGGCGCATGGTATCGATTTTTGATGTATTTATTATGCAGTTACACACAGGTTTAATTGCAAGGGGAATGAAATAAATGGTAAGAAAAACTAAAGATAAAATCAATATAAATAGTTGATTCAAGAGGAAGTACATTTTTTATTGATCCTAGACCTGTAATAACAAAATTAAAGCTGTTTTTGTTTTCTTGAACAATATCTTTGGAATTTTCGACAATAAAATGTATCGACGAGATGTAGGTATTCTATTTGGCACCAAATATTGCCCTCTTATAGCAGACTTGTTCGTGTAACAAAATCACAAGGACATTCAAACTCATAAGTCGAAAATAAACAGACAACCCCATGGTTAAAAAAGAAAAAGACCAACAGTCAAACAGACAAACAACAGTTCAAAAAACACAACATATTAAAATAAAGACTGAACATGAACCTAACCAAACACTAGGCGTGATCTGGAAGGTTAAGCAGATCCTGCTCTACATGTGGCACCCGTCATGTAAGTACAAACCCCGGTGATAAGTCTAATTCGGTAGGTCACATTCGCGGAAAATGATCTAATTATACTGCAGAAATTTACTTTCAGACAATAACTTAGTATATATCTAATATCAACTGCAATAGTTGTCATTTCCTGATTAAGGAATTTTCGATTTGCTTTTGAAATTCTACACTGAAATTTTAAAGAAATATGAGAGGTTTCTCGTTACCTATTGTTGATTTTCCTTTTTGATATGTACATTTTCCAACTTGTATACTATGCTCGCGTCTGTAGAGACGTTTAAGAATTCTAAGTTTAACTGATAAATCATTAAATCAGTGACTTCGTTACCGTAAAAAAACCCAACAACTTTCAAACCTTAACTATATTCTTTCATTAACACGTTCCTTAGCTACAAAGAAACAAATTACTAATTTTTGGTCAGCAGGTTGATAGTTAGGAGTAACCAAGTGTAGGGACCTTTTAACATATCATACACCTACTAACTTGAAATTTGTTATTACACATTTCGCCCCTACGTTTGAGCCTAATGACTTCATATTTTTCGGCAACTCATCAGTGATGAGGTATAAGGCGTAATCGTTTAATGAATCTGTCAAACACTTACTTCTTATTTCCTGATGCCTTGATTTTATAGTCTGTGGGCACGTTTGTTATTCGTTATTGTGCTTTGAACTGATATAATGAGTCAAGCCCTTTCCAACTGGTTGGAAAGTTTGGTGTGTTGTAACACCACTGTCCCTGATATGATAATGGTTTGATCGCCCACAAACATATTTAACCTGCTACATTCAGCAAAATGTTGGTAGGCCATGGATTTAACTGATAAATCAACATTGTATAAATATTCTCCTATTTTGAACAGTAACTCTATATATCTTTTTCAGATGTAGAAGCTGATTCTGGTTCTCTGTATAGTATTGCTGTTACACTAGGTATGTAAATTCAGCAAAATTTGATATTTTAAATTTGCCATAACCATTTAAGCAAGTATCCAAAATTAGATTTTCCCCCCAAAATAATGTTTGATAGATAGTATTATTAATTAATTGTACTATTGGTTACAGTATTTTTAAGATGTACCAAATAAACAATAGAATGATTTTGTAGTTAAAATGATGTTTTTGTAATAGTAATTATAAGTATATCTGAATTATAAAAAAAAGCAATGATAATCTTCTTATGTTTGTACGTTTTTGCCCCCATCAGAGTACATTAAGGGTGATAGCGCAAAATAAGTTTCAACGTCACATAAACTATCACCCATTTTCGACATTTTGTGTCATGTCATCAATAATTGGGTCTACCTAAACATCACTTTATTACAATGAGAAGGAAAATAAACTGAAACATTTGATTTCCAAAATATGTGGATCCAAAAATCCAAAACTAGACAAAATCCATTATTTTTCATTACATTTTCTTCTCGATAAACAAGTAATAGGCTTTTTTTAGATTTACATGTTTACTCTTTTGATTATACTTACACATGTATATTAACAAATTTCTGATTTCTCTTTCTTATTTTATTTTTCATACGTTGTTGGATTTTTAAAAATCATAATCCTGTTGTTGATATTTTTGTTGGTCATTTGGTTATTTGCTTCTTTGCTTGTTTTTTTTTTCTTGGAGTAGAGGGGTATATATTTATAGAGGCTTATGAGCCGAAAAATGGAGGATATTGCCAACTCCACCAGCCCCACACTTGTTGGCATTTTCTCTTGGTTAAAAAATGGTTATGGAAGAGGAAATTAACTAACTTCTAGACTAGTAACATAGAAAAGGTTTTGTTTTTGCATGTCTTTTTTTTTAAGTTTGTCCCTCCTTTCAGTCTTTTCCTGAGTCACTAATAGGTTACAAATAATCAGCAATAATTTTACTCGGACATATCTTTAAGATTGTAGAAGGCAAGTGTTAACACAAAATCTCTAATTGATTATAGACTTAATATCTCCAAACATCGTAGTACATAACCCGGTACGGATATGTGTTGTGTGTTTAATGTTTCAATTATGCAATTGTCTTTAAAGTCAGTTACAAAACAAAAACAACAAAGAAAAATGGGATGATAAAAACCAGCCGTATAGGTTTTCTGTATATTGGTTAAATAGATACAATGAATAAGCGTTGATTCTTGAAAAACTTAAACTATTGTGTTGATGCCTTTTCAAAATTAAAGCCTTTTCTTAATCAGAAGGTATTGTAAGTGAGTTTAAATAACAATATCATTATGTTCAAAGATGCATTAATAAATCGAAGTTCACAAATAATTGGTTAGAAAAATGCAAATATAACATAACACGTTTGTCTTTAAATTATCAGGCATCTGAATAGTATCTGTAATTTACAAAATAATACATGTTCGAACTTATTTCTAAGTATATATAATAAGTGTTTCTAGGCACATCACGATTTACTCGCATATGGATTTGCGAATAAACATTTGTAAAGATATGTAGTAAAACAGATGAACTCATACTATATTTATAAAACAAAAATGGACAAATTGAATGCAATTATTTTCTTTCAAATATGTGAAATAGCCAAAAATAATCCAAAAATAAATGGATAACCCGCAATTATTAAAAAAATATCCACAATAACATACAAAATAAGAAAAACGGAAAAACTAAAGAATAGGGACAACAAAGAGAATACAGGGATTCGAACCTAAACCGACAAGTCTCTACCTTTATCTTGACTCATAGATCATAACCATGTTAACCTCGCGGCTACCAACTTATACTATACGATTGACTATTATGTATATATAAAGGTACAAACCATGTGTGTTTGCTGTACCGATGTGTATCATATGTTCATTTATATATACAACATAGACATTTAAATTGCAACCCATTGGTAGCCGAGAGGTTTCGTCGATGAGTTGATGTCTGTCATACATAACAGATTTCAAGGAGGGGTTCGATTCCCAGTGAAGGTATATATAAATACAAAAATTAAAGGTAAGTTATTAAATTAATTCCATTAGTGAACAGAAATCAGTAAATTGGCCAATTCAAACTTAATGAAATTAAGCACACAAAAGAAACAATTGAATATAATTTGGTGAGCTCATTTCAACGACAGATTTAGAAAGCGTGTCGATTTAGAAAGCGTTGATTCTAGAAAAAGAATCCACGGTAAATGAATAAGCTGACGTCACGACAATGGTTTAAATCTGGATATATATTATAGTATGTAAACAACCATTTGATAATTTGCATCATACCTTCACAGAAAAGACTTTGTCAAACTATGAATCAGTAAAATTTAGTTTTGCTTTAGATTTTGATTCTGGTATTCTTTTATATAAGAAAAAACTGAACAACTTGTTATTTACCTTTAAATATGTGCAACAGCCTAACAAATAGAGACTTTTTTGTACAAGTGATCGTTTGCAGAGATATTGATGTATGTCATCTATAGTTCTGGGCTAGGCTGTAGATTATTTCCACGCTAATGTTACATACACTATGTGTAAATATTTCAATTTAATTTACATATGTAAACTGGAATACGATGTTAAAGAATGCAGTGATTTGCATTTATTGTACAAATACAAGGTGTGATTTTGATATTCTGTTTGATATAGTGTCTAAATAAATTCTAGTCTAGAACATAAATGGTGTACTCATTTTGAGATACAGGAATCAAAAAAGTTTCATCAATTTATTCAATGTAAATTTTTGTTTGTTGACAACTGGTTGCCAATTGCCAGTTCTGTGTATTTTTCAAAATTATATGTTGGTAAAATAGCCCCCGGTGGAAAAGTCAGGATATTTAGTAGCCTTTACACTTTATCACGTACCAACAAAATAAAACAATTGATTGATTCTAAAAAAATGCTATGATCTACATTTTATCATGATATTTCTTTCAGATAATGATGGTAAAAACGAAGAAAAATATACTGACGAAACAGGAGGTAAAATCATTAAATTGTTTATTCAATGTAATAAACAAAAGTAGAACCTTCAAAAATCTCTTCTCTTCAAAAATACTTCCAACTGCAATATTGTGGACAATCCGTCACATTTAACAAAAGTACAAATAAATGTCTTCCTTGATCTTAATTTCTGTGACAACACGTATCTCAGCTACCTATGTTCAGACTGATCAGAGGATGATGTCTGAGTGAATAAAAAATAAAAAATACATTACACAACATTACACAATCAACACTAGTAAAATTTAATTACGAATATTTATGTATCACACAACACGCAAGTTAAATTTTTTATTCAAACATGACAATCTATAAAAAAAAAAGAATTGCAAAGAAAGCGGAACGTTGAAATAAATAAAAAAAAAAAAAACACGGAATGCATGTACTTCTAGGTGGCACATGGGTAACGAACACTTAATTTCTATGTGTGATGGATGAGCTATTCCTTCAATTGGCATTGCGTATATTAAAGTGATATTTTCACAGGGAACTAAAGCTAAGTAAGTCTACATTCATGTTTCTTTCGAACGTTAACAGAAAACAACTAGGGATTTTATATTGAACCAATACATCAAGAGTTACAAATTGTTGTTTAAAATCAAAATGAATAGTCTTCCTTTTATTATTCTAGCAGAAGGAATCCTGGTTGATTCCAATCACAGTACATGGATAACGTAAGTGACAATATTGTTCTTTAAAACTAATTTTTTCTATAATTACGTTAATACATAATAAAATAAAACCATTGAAAGTGACCATCAGATTCATGATCAACATTGCCAAATTGTTGTCTTGGCCAGATAATGACTTGGTTCTATTGACCAAATCTTTATTAGATAAATTGATAAGATAAATCAGATATTTGTAAATTGATAATGATTAAATAAATTCGTGCAAGTTTATAGCGGAAGTGAAAGGTAAATATCCAACTGCAGGACGTGTTTATGGTATACACTCGATATCCGACTTTGGGAAATCATATAAAAATATAAGACTGTAGCGAACATATTAAGCTATCCGAATGATGTTATTTTTTGTGAGCAGTAAATTAAAAGAAACGTCAGTATCGATGATATTTTAGTGTCAGCAGAAAAGTGCTGACTTTCTGGGCTGTTGATGCTTGGAGAAAAACAATCATATTGTCTCAAACGATTTTTAAAAATTAACCCATAAACAATCAGATTTACCCTGATGGCCTTTACCAATTAATACATTTCTAATGAAAACAGAATGCCTTAATTCGCACAGAAACTAAACAAATTGTAAATAAGTTCAACAAAGAGACCAAAATATCGAAATAACAACAATAAAATTGAGAATGGAAATGGGGAATATGTCAAAGAGACAACAACCCGACCAAAGAGCAGATAACAGCCAAAGGCTACCAATGGGTCTTCAACGCAGCGAGAAAATCCCGCACCCGGAGGTGGGCCTCAGCTGGCCCTAAATAAAAATGTGTACTAGTTCAGTGAAAATGGACGTCATACTAAACTCCAGAACATATAAATGAACTAAAATTAAAAAACATACATGACTAACAAAGGCCAGAGGCTCCCGACTTGGGACAGGCACAAAATGCAGCGGGGTTAAACATGTTTTGTGAGATCTCAACCCTCCCCCTATACCTCTAGCCAATGTAGAATAAAAAAAACACACAACACCATATTCTTATCTGTCATAATCTTATGAATTATAATTTTTTCCTACTCCAAGTCTTGATTTAATCTAAAACTGCAATTAACAAATAATCCATGATGTTCTGAGTACAAAACATTCCGGCGCTCGTTTTGTTTTCATGAATAAGTTGTTATATTATTTTCTTGATCGACAGTAACATATACTGCCAGTAGCCATTACTCCTGTACTGACAAGAAATATCATGTAAAAGGTCATATTCTGTATATTTCCTGTTTACTGTCTCAATGCCACTGCTGACGAAAGATTGTCCTCAAGGGAATCATCATTTGGGTTGTTGGATTTGTTTCCTGGTTTCAGCCGTTTTGAGCTTGACTTGGGTTTAGTAGGAAAAAACAATTGGGGGCCAAATCATTAAATCTAAGATATTTCAAACTATCTCGGTTTTTTTAATACAATGATAGATTTATGCAGTTAAAAAAAAGCCATTACTGTTTTGATTAAACCAAAATACTAATTGTGACAGTTATAAAACCATAGAATGATAGGGAATTTAGTGAAATGGCAAACAATGCACAATTGTGTACATACTTAGAAATGAAATTGCATACAACCGTCGCCCGAAAAGATAATAAACTTGTAAGTTATATCATCTTTATTCATTCTGTAGTACCTTATTTGTTGGATTTGGATTCTGCAGTCAATTGTGTTCTTCTCGATCTACACAAGTTGATCACAACTAAAAAAACATGTTAGTTTAAATCGTTCTAGCTTGTATTTTACAAAACCAGTGTGTATCAAAGCAAACTTATTCAGAAGGTTGATTTACTTTTTTCAAAAGTTTCAAATTTTCTTATCAAGGGGGGGGGGGGGGGGGAGTGAGATTTTATAGATTGCCATCATTGTCGGTTTTGCGAATTGTTTGAATGCTGAATGGTGACTTGTAATTGTTTTCTTCATTTAGCTTTGGTCGTCAATTGATATCTGTTTCATTGGCGACCTTACCGAATCTTTTCATTATTCATTGTTAGTTCTTATTTAGTAATTTTTCCTAATATCTGATATTATGTTTCAGTTTCGCAGGCAAAGCAGTAAAGCACATCAATGCACCCTCTGAAAGGGAATTTTTTCAAGAATACACTCATGATCGTTCATTTTGCATTGATGGTATAATTAAAGATGTTAAGATTTTGGACAAAAACACCATAATTATAGCTAGTTATGGAAATAAACAACTTGTCATAATTGATTGGAAGTATTATTTACAAGAGCAAATTCCACTAGACGACAACCCTAGTAAGCTGGCAGTTATAAATCCAGATATTGTAGCTCTCATTATGCATGACAGAGATTATATTCTCATTTTTAACATTTATAATCGGGTGCCGACTAAATTAATTGTTGGTAAAAAATTATGTGGTATTGGATATTCAAATGAAAGGCTTTATGTTGGATGCAAGGACCAGACAATCCAAGTTTTGTCTTTAAAAGGTGAATTTAAAGCAACGATAAAAATCCCAGGAACAGAAATTCACAATATGTGTGCAAGCAAGAACCGATATATCTACTTTACAAGTTATATAGATGATAAACTGATGTGTATCGACACCAGGGCGAAGCAAATTATAATCATTCAAGATTCAAAGTTGCTAAGACCACGTGGAATTACAATGGATGAAAACGATAACATACTTGTGTCATGCCATCGATCAACGGAGGTATTTCGTGTCAGCTCCGATGGTAAAAAAACGACAAAAATTATGGATACTGAAACATTCAATGGATTTCCATGCATTTGCTGTGACTTAGAAACAAGGTCTTTGATAATTGGTGGATGTGACACCATCTATATATATAGAAAATTACAAATCCTAAGATATAACAATAATTGATTGGCAATATTATTTACAAGGGTTATTTCTTTGCTCATTCGAGTCAGACCTATTTGCAAATGAATTTGTGCTCAAGAAGGACAAATGCATTAGCTTATTGTTCGCGGTGATCTTCTAGTTATTTAAATGAGCGAATATATACTTTTTTCGTGGTGTTTTTTCTCTCAAGTTTTGGAAAGTATAGTTTCCTTGACATTAATACAGGCATACTTTTTTGTTATAATATACACGTAAATCCCCTAATTTACTCATATTTTAAACTGAACATGTTTATTTACATTCTTAAACTTTTACAAAGTGTGAAAGCATTAAACAACACTAGTTTAGAGAACAGTTCTAAAAATTAAAACACCTTGTTCAGAGAACAATTGAAGGTCTTTCCACATCAATTTTCTAAATCATTGATAAAAAAACTTCTCCTGGGTTCCTGATAGTTACTATTGGCGTCCAATCGTACATTTCTATATACTGTAAATTCAGAAATTATTGCGTGCACTTATTATTGCGATTTTTGAAGAATGGACTTAAAAGCGAGATTAATTATAGCGATTTCAGGAAAATATGCATACAGTTATATGTATCTGATATGAGAATGCGAGTTTTTATTATTGCGATACACATTCAGTCGCATTTTTCGCATTAATAAAAACCTCGCAATAATTTCTGAATTTACAGTACTGATACGATAAATAAATGGTTTCTATATACTTTTGTGTGAAATAAGGGAGATGATGTGCTACTTCCGGTTTAGTAAATGTCACTTCCGGTCTCATATGATAGCTTCTTTCATACAGATTTCAAAAATATAGGTTTCTATATGATTTTGCCTGTTATAAAGGAGATAATTGGCCTCTTCCGGTTTATCGAAGGTCATTTCCGGTCTCTTATGATAAATTTATGTATGTCAACTACAAAATATATGAATTCTGAGTACTTTTCCATGAAAAAAATGCAATTACAGCTACTTCCGGTTTCCTCATTGTCATTTCCGGCTGACATTTTAAAAGGTCATATGTCGCCCAACGTTTTGCAAGAGACCCTATGGCGTTATTATGAATCAATTTGAAGTAATAATCAATTAACCTTATATTAAAACATTTCAGGGGCAATGACTCTTATAAGATATCACTAAATTGTTTCAGACCAAATGTATCATATCTTCATTACAACTAAACAATTGAACAACTGAAGGTTTAAAATGTCATGTCCAGCGTCAAATGATAGCTTATTGTAAGCTGATTCCAAAAATATATGGTTTCTATACATTTTTTTCTAAATAAGGGAGATAATTTGTTACTTCCGGTTTGAAAAATGTCACTTCCGGTATTATTTGATAGTTTACTTGACACTGATTCCAAAAACATATGGTTCAATATACTTTTACATTAAATAAGTACAAAAAATAGTTAATTTCGGTTTACACAAGATCACTCCCGGTTGGCTTTTCCATGGTCAAGTGGCTTGCAACCTAATGCAAAAAGTCCCATGACTTTATCATGTATACATATGAGGTAAAAGCAAAGGTCAAAATCTAGAATGTCAAATTTACCTATGACCTTGAGCTCAATTTCAAGGTCATAAACCAAGGACCTCAAATAAAAAGACCCTAAGTCTTAATTATATATGGTTATTGAGATATATCACCATATGCATAATTTTAAATATTAGAGGGGAGAAAATTCCAATTTAATGTTAGCGTATCCTTTCAACCAATATGTATGTGTTACGACATGTCGCAACTAACAATTTAGTAAATATATGTTGTCGATATCTTAAACTGTTTTTGAAAAGAGGTGAAAATAAGCCAAAATCAAAATTTAAAATATGACCTTGACCTCTAAACTTGACCTTATTTTCTTTTTTTTTTGACCAAGGACCTCAAATCAAAAGACCCTAGGCCTCTATCACTTATGGTTTACCAGTTACAAATGCATATCCCTTATATCAAATGCATGAGGGGAAATAACTCTCATATGGAGTCTCCGGATGGCTTCAGTCAAAATTATTCTTCAAATCCTGAGGATAAATTGGTGAAATTATTTTGTCGTAATCTTTTACGGTTGCGAAGGAGATGCACACACATGAAAAACAGTGTTTGGGGAGATAACTCGTACAATAAAAAGAGTTCGGTTAAACAAGGTCAGTCTAAAAAGCGCGATATAATATAAAAAATATCAAAGCGACATACTGCAAAACAAAAATTTATCGCAAGAACAAAGTTTGGCGGACGAATTAGCAAAAAAATTCCTGAGGATGTATCAAACAATTTAGAAAAAGAATTTTGTCGATATCTTTTTTTGTTACGAAGGAAATGCACACACTTGATAAACAAGTGAATAGGGAGATAACTCTTACAAAGTTAATTGTTCGGTTTAGCAGGGTGAAATTTAAAAGCGCATAAACTGTACGATACAATGTAAGAAATATCAAAGCGACATATTGCGAAACAAATATTTATCGCAAGAAAAAAATTTGGCGGAAGAAAAAAAAATAATAATAATAATAATTAAAAACAAATTGTTCAAAGAACAATTGAAGGTCTTTCCACATCAATTTTCTAAATAATTGATAAGAAGCTACTTCTGGTAACTCAAAGTTACTATTGGCGTCCAATCATAGGTTTCTTCATACTGATTCAATAAATATATGGTTTCTATATACTTTTGCCTGAAATAAGAGGGATAATTGCCAACATCCGGTTTAGAAAATGTCACTTCTGGTCTCATGGACTGCTTTATTTACACTGATTCCAAAAATATATGGTTTATATATACTTTTGCCTGTAAAAAGGAGATAAGTGGCTACTTCCGGTTAAGAAAATGTCACTTCTGGTCTCTTATGATTAGTTCATTCACTCTGATTCCAAAAATATATAGTTTGTATATACTTATGCCTGTAAGAAGGGAGATAATATGCTGCTTCCGGTTTATAAAATGTCACTTCCGGTCTCAAATGATAGGTTAATGTATGCCCATTCAAAAAATATATGGATTTCTAGAACTTTTCCATGAAAAAAAGTGCAAAAATGGCTACTTCCGGTTTTCTCAAGACCAAATTTAACATATCTTCATTACAATTAAGCAAACATTTTGCTCTGTTCTTTTATAGATATATTTAAAAGTGTTGGATAAAATGCAAAAACAAGGAAATATCAAAATTAAGAACTTGACCTTGACCTTTGACCTGACTTCATTTTCTAAGTTAGGACCTAGTCGATATCTTTTTTTGTTACAAAGGAGATGCACACACTTGATAAACAGTGAATAGGAAGATAACTCTTACAAAGAAAATTGTTCGGCTAAGCAGGGTGAAATTTAAAAGCGCATACACTGAACGATACAGTGTTAGAAATATCTAAGCGACATATTGCGAAACAAATATTTATCGCAAGAACAAAATTTGTCGGAAAAAAAAAAAAAAAAAAAAAAACCAATTGTTCAGAGAACAATTGAAGGTCTTTCCACATTAATTTTCAAAGTTATTTAAAAGAAGCTAGTTCCTGTTTACTCAAAGTTAAAATTGGCATCCAATAATACGTTTCTTCATACTGATGCGATAAATCAGTGGTTTCTAAATACTTTTGAGTGAAATAAGGGAGATAATTTGCTACCTCCGGTGAAGTAAATATCACATCCGATCTCATATGATAGCTTCTTTCACACTGACACCAAACATATATAGTTTCTATATACTTTTGCCTGTAAACCAGGAGATAATTGGCCACTTCCGGTTTATCGAAAAATACTTCTAATCTTTGGTGATAAGTTAATGTGTTTAAATTACAAAATATATGGATTCCGAGTACTTTTCCATGAAAAAAGTGCAAAAATGGATAACTCCGGTTTTCTCAAGGTCACTTCCGGTTGTCATTTTTCAAGGTCATATGTCACTCAACCTTTTATAAAAGGTCATATGGCTTTATAATGAACCAAATTGAATTGATGATCAATTAACCTTATAATTAGACATTTCAGGGGCACTAACTCCTATAAGATGTCATTATATAGTTTCAAACCAAATATAACATATGTTCATTACAATAAAGCAAACATTTTGCACTTGTTCTTTTATATATATCTTTAAAAGTGTTGGAGAAAATGCAAAAACAAGGAAAAATCAAAACTTAGAACTTGACCTTGACTTCATTTTCTAAGTTTGGACCTAAGGGCCTTAAATAAAAAGATTCCAGGGTTATACGGTTAAAGGTTTATGAGTTAAAAAAACATACCGACAAATTTTCTTGGTAAAGGTAGATAACTCCTATAAAATTTCATCGAATCGCTTCGATTCAAAGTAGCCAAAAATTTCTGAGGATGTAACGAACAATTTAGAAAAATAATTTTGTCGATATCTTTTTTTGCTACGAAGGAGATGCACACACTTGATAAACAGTGAATAGGGAGATAACTCTTACAAAGAAAATTGTTCGTCTTAGCAGGGTGAAATTTAAAAGCGCATAAACTATACAATACAATATGAGAAATATCTAAGCGACATATTGCGAAACAAATATTCATCGCAAGAACAAAATTAGGCGGAAAAAAATAATTATAATTAAAATCAAATTGTTCAGAGAACAATTGAAGGTCTTTCCACATCAATTTTCAAAATTATTGAAAAGAAGCTAGTTCCGGTTTAATTAAAGTAAAAATTGGTATCCAATCATAAGTTTCTTCAAACTGATGCGATAAATGAATGGTTTCTATATACTTTTGAGTAAAATGAGGGAGATAATGTGCTACTTTCGGTGAAGTAAACGTCACTTCCGGTCTCATTTGATAGCTTCTTTCACACTGATTCCAAAAATATATAGTTTCTATTTACTTTTGCCTGTAAACCAGGAGATAATTGGCCACTTCCGGTTGATTGAAAGTCACTTCTAGTCTTTAGTGATAAGTTAATGTATCTAAATTACAAAACATGGATTCCAAGTACTTTTTCATGAAAAAAGTGCAAAAAAGGCTACTTACGGTATTCTCAAGGTCACTTCCGGTTGTCATTTTTCAAGGTCACATGTCACCCAACCTTTTGTTAAAGGTCATATGGCTTGATAATGAACCATGTTGAAGTAATAATGAATTAACCTTATAAATGGACATTTCATGGGCACTTACTCCTATTAAATGCCATTAGATTGTTTCAAACCAAATTTAACATATCTTCATTACAATTAAGCAAACATTTTGCACTTGTTCTTTTACAGATATATTTAAAAGTGTTGGAGAAAATGCAAAAGCAAGGA